TGTCGCGTGTCAAAACTAAAATTCATAAATTTAGACGATTAAAAAAAAAAAAATCGATCCTCTCGTTCTTTCAACTTCCATCATCTCCGCAATTTCAGTTTCCTTCAAATCCCTAGAAACATATATATTCCTAAAAAAAATCAATGTGACATCAAATTATCTTTGATTATTTAATTCGTTAGTTGTAATCTAGACATTATAAAAAAATCGAAATTGTGGCGGCATTTACTCTCGTAGTTCAAGGGTTTTTTTCTCGGCTTCAAAGACATGGGAACATATTAATTCATACTTAGAAAAGTAAGAAGGAATAGAGTCAAAATGTGTGGTTTTCCCAGCATTAATTTCTTCGATTCGCTTTCATTACTTGGTCAGTGATTAAAGATCGATTGCTCACATGTTATTGGGATAAAAAGATGGGGTCGTGATCGACCATGTGTGCTTTGCGGAGAATTGGACGAGACGAGTGAGCACTTGTCCTTTGTGTGTCCTTACTCCTTTACCATTTGGATGGACCTAGTCGGTGATCTACTTGGTGGTCATGCTGATCCGGACTGGACAACCACCTTGATTAGCATTATCTCTCATTCTTTCACCCGCGATGTCTTCTTTCTATCGACACGCTTGGTGTTTCAAATAACAAATCTACTATATTTGGGAAAAGAGGAATGAGAAGAGGCACTCGATCTCTCACCATTCGACCATTTATCTTGTTCGTATTATTGACAAAACATAGTTTCATCCTTGCGCATTAAGGATTCAACTCGATATGCATGCTTTTTCAACGGTGATTCTATGTGAGAGGCATCCACTAGTAAAGCCTCTTTCTATAGTTTAGACGCATGCAAGAATAATCCAAATGTAAACGCATTGATTGTAGTTGAATTTTTAGGTTTTACTTAGTATGAACGTGAATGAACTGCTAAAAGCATATTTTCTACATTTTTTTTTAATATGAATTTGTTTTTCTTTTTATTTCTGAGAAGTTCTTCATCGTTAAAAGAGTTATATTATATCCAAATCCTTTTAAAATTAAACGACAATACATTACGATTTAAATTTCTATCACAACTTTCATAGCAACATGCAAATGAATTAAAATATAATTTAAATTAATTTCATAATTGGTTGCAAATTCATTGCAAATTTATGTAAATGTCAGTAAAATTAGTGCTGTCATTGTTGTAAATTAGTGCTGTCTAGCTATTGTAAATCACCATGTTTAGTATTTTTTTTCTTTCTTTCTACATATGGTTTAGTTTGTCTACTATAAAAATGAAAACCAAATCATATAAATTTAGTTTAAACTCTCTTTTTTTTTCTAACTTGATTATTTTTTTCAAGTTAACATAATTCAAATTATCATTTTCATAACCGAATAACAAACTTTGGGTTGGTCGAATTTATAATCAAGAAAAATAACGATAACGATTATATACATTTTTCAAATTTTTTAAAATCCAACAGATCAGCATCCGTAGTCCTTACTATGAGTCAAAGGTCTCTACCCTCTTC